AAAGGGCCATTTGTCGGAAACTTGGACGTCAGCGCACAGCTTTTGCAGCGCCGACGACCCGAAACATACTTGTTCGCTCGGGAGAAGTTGTTTCGGCATTTCGCCACAGCGCGGCACCAGTCAAATGGCTCTCCTCTCATCCGTTGTCTGCCGCTCCACCTTTTTCATTTTGCGGCCGCTTCTCGTGGCAATCTGCCAGGCTTTGTCAGTATATAGGAGGCTATCATGATACGTGAGAAAAGATAATTGCGCTTGAAGACAGGGACATAGGAAGAACAGACACCACAGAGTGCTAAAAATCGGCACTTGCCCAACAATCAGCACTTGTCAAGCTATTATGATGCCCATTCCCAAAGGACATGCACCCGCAAGCGCACGTAGGTGGGCGACTCGCGCGCGTCCGCTATCTCCGCAAGCGCTACCACCACGACCCGGACGCACTGTACACGGACACGGCGTCGTGCAACTCTCGCTCAGGCTGTCGCTTCGTCGCAGTGTGTGACTCGGACGGCTGCAACGGAACCGCAATTTCACTGCGTGGCTCCCCCCCTGCGCGGAGGTGAGGGAGCTGCGATAGCACTGGCGATATCGACCACACACGACAAACCCAAACTTTGATCCTGACACGACCACGCTCACCATCCTGACCGACTCACAGCCGCGTGCAGAGCCCAGGCTGGAAGTCTGCTTTCCCCCTGGAGCAAGAACAATTTCTCCCTATTAGACCAGAGCAAACGACAGCTGGTCCGCATTGTATGGAACCATGGCCATTCTTCCCTTCCAGGCAACGAGGCGTCAGACGCGTTAGCCCGAGACGCGACTCTTCGGGCATTGCCTCGGGAGGGACGGCATGACGGGTCTCTTTACGACTGAGCGAGGGACTGAACTTGTGACCCACCTAATCCAGCCATAAATACGTACACCCACGTCACGGAGTATTATAACATATTGCTCAGAACGTACCCCCTGTTATATGTGTCACAGTGCTCGTGCCTTGACGTGCAGCGTGCGCGCGAGACTATCGCGTGAAGTGCTTGACTGACTGACTACCCGAGCGACAGCATGCAGCCGTGTTCCAACCGGGCTGATTTCTGTAACCCGTTTTTTTTTGTAAATACACCACATTTATTGGCGACGAGGATGGGATTCCCGGCACAATTCTGAAGCAATCTGGCCCAGTGTCGTTCCAGGTTCGAATCACGACTGCTCGGGGCACATAAATCTGGCGCCGTCACCAAGAGCAGATGCTACATCATCATGAAAACTCGATGCAAGGCACATCGGACGGATTGCTGCCCGACCTGAGGAATCCAGAGAACTGCGTCGACGAGCCTGTGGTCATTGAGTTTGCAACCACCCCACCGAAGGCAACCGACAATCCCGCTGTGCAACAGCGCTACCCCACAAGACATCGTCGTCCTACGGACAGATACGACACGACGCATAACGTTTTCGGCATTGTGTGCAGTGTGCTTTTTCCTTTGGTTTCTTCAATTACGCCGGGGGAAATGTTATATGTGTCGCAGTGCTCGTGCCTTGACGTGCAGCGTGCGCGCGAGATTATCAAGTGAAGTGCTTGACTGACTGACTACACAAGCGACAGCATGCCGCCGTGTTCCAACCGGGCTGATTTCTGTAACCCGTTTTTCTTCTAAATACCACCACACCCCTCTCCCCACAAATCCCTTACCAGACAAGACGCGACTGGCTGGAGGAAACTCCACTCTCATTTCCTAACTTCCTCCCTCTCCACCACTTCTTCCCCGACAGATTCCGGTGCGAATGCCCGGGCCTGTCACTCCCCCGAACCCACTCTTTACCATTTCACCTGGGCCTACCCACTCCAGCGCGAGCTGCGGATCGGGCTGTGAGGCGAGCATTGCGGCATCTCAAGAGGATTGAGATGAATTAGGAATCGGTCAGATCCCCACTCTGACCGATTCCTAATTCATCTCAATCCTCTTGAGATGCCGCAATGCTCGCCTCACAGCCCGATCCGCAGCTCGCGCTGCTCGATCAAGCTAGGTGGGTGGCTCAAGCCTGCGGGGACCTGAACTAGGGGACCCGACCACGAGGCTCAACCACACAGACCCTATCTCAATAAAGTTTGACCAACCATGAAAGACGCACTTCTCCACGTAGTGCTGTCGTGCACCACGCGATGGCACCGCACGGTACCGGTGCAATCAGCGTCATGAACAAGTCCTAAGTGGCATGCATCTTATTTTTTGCTCATCACCTTTACTTAAAAGGAATACGGAAACGAAATGACGTCAGCGCAAGCTCTCCGCCCCTCGCTATAAAGTCGTGCAGCGAGAAGCGCAATCCGTATCCAGCTCGTGACGTCAATAGTTCATGCACGGTCAAATGTACTGTGGTTTCGAGCCTTGCTGCTTAATGGCCTCAACGCGTGGCAATCTCGCTTAGTAGTAATCAGAGCCGTATATATAAGGAGTATTGACTGGACGCCATATTTGTGGGTGCCGTTTAGAGCGCATGCTCAGAACGAACTCACATTAAGAGGTTGCTAAGACCGGCAATCTTGATGGTGTGGAATGCACGTTGCAAAAGAACTGTGGAAGCCCGCCATCAGCACGCGCTCAGCAGTCGCGCACACGGATATGGCCGCCAGTGAATACTCCCTATAGAGAGTTTGGCCATTCGTTGGGAAGTATAGGAGACAAATGAGGAGGCGCCATTGGCCGAAAGCGGGCTGGGCGTGTTCCAGGGCGTCTTCACAAAGTCGAATGTGGCCAACCAGAAGCCGGAAATAATACCCTGGTGGTGGTCGCGAGAAACAAACTTGATAAGTCCGTCGGAGTAACTCTCGGTGACTGAAAATATGGTGCACGTGATGTTTCAATCGTGGTCATCCAAAATCACGGTGTAAGAGCGTGACTAGCGAAACGACCGACATAATCCGTTCACCAAGCGCCGAGGGCCGGGAATCTGCTGTCCGAGCGGTCACACTCTTTCCGAGCAAAACAGAGTTGAGCGGCGCATTCGTTTCTTACATCTTTCTGCATGATCATGATCAAAACATCACGTGCACCCTATTTTCAATCATAAAGGGTTACTACACTTCACTCTTACGCGCTTATTAAAACCATATACTAACATACACCTTTGACCACAACAGTTTCTCGCTACCACCGCTAGGGGACTCTTTTAGGCTTCTGGTTGGTCAAGGGAGCATGTCAAGCCCACTTTCTGCGTCTGGTGCACTCCCTGGCTCTCCCCGCGCCTCCCATTGACCAAAGTTTCTGTATACACGGCTCTCGTAGCAGTAATCGAGGGCGAGAGCTCGAGGTCGTTGCCTTGAAGCGTTATTCCGCAAAACGAGCGCTCGCGCTAGAAACGCATGTCTCAAAGCCAGGAGCACGGGCTAGCTCGCGCTTGTAGCTTTAGCTGTAATCTCAGCTTATCGCTGAATGCAGTATAAGCCCGTTAGCGTCCTCGGCCATGTCACATTCAGGACTAAGTAACTGCACGAGCAAGCCATACTGCTGCGAACTGGCGCTGCTTAAGCAGCGCCAGTTCGCAGCAGAAATGCCGCGACGTCATGAGCTCCCCAGAATTCTGGGGAGCTCATGACGTCGCGGCATTTCATCGGAGCTTCACAGATAGCCTCCAGACGCAATTTTAAAATATTTTCATTCGTTTTAAGATTAGTTTCTTGAATTCCCTGGCTTAAGCCCAGAAACAGTAGTCTAGGCTAGTGCTTCCGGGCTGCCGGCCCAACATAAACCACATCTAAAGAAAGAAAGAAATGGAAAACATTTCGTTTCCGTACCTTTTTAAAGCCACCATACGAGCGCTCTCGCTTCTCCTCCTTTCCTCCAGTTTCTCGGCGCACAATAGACCGATCTCACCAAGCATTTGGCGCATGCGTGACGCCGCCATAACTTTAGTTCACAGGAGTACAAACAGGAGGCAGACGGCAGTGCACGAGAGAGTTCGTGATGTCTCGTGCTCCTCACGCGCGGATCTCGAGCGAGGTTGTCGCTCATGCAGAAAGACTAAAGTTCCCTCGATGCATTGTGGCAGCGGCGGCGTAGTCAAACCAGCTGGTGAGAAAGGTCCATTACTGACGAGGTTAAACTGGAAGGGAAGCACCTCAGTTTTCCCGCCGTCAGCGCGACCTTTTTACTCTCGAGCTCCCGCGTGCAGCCAAGCATGGCGGAGGGCACGGAGCGTACGCTGGAGCCCGGGCGTTCAAACGAAATGTGGTGCGTTCTCATTTTGTCAGTGACTAAAAACCATGAACCACTTGAAAATATGCGGGAAACAAAGCAGCTTAACATACCAGTGTGATAAGATATTATTTATAATTTATAACGGGACGCCTGAATTTAAGAAACGAAAGTATTTTTAGAGCAACTTCCCCCTTTAAGATGTTATTTGTAACACGAACCACATGTTCCACGCGTGAGAGTGTAACATTCAAATATGGAATTCCAAAGAAAGTTTGAGACTAACACTCTACCACTGTGCTGGAGCGGAGACTTGTCAAGCGATAACTATTACGCGCCGTTCTCGTATCCTTATTCCGTGACCCAGACAGGTTGCGCGGGGAGGCGTTCACTAGAGGTGCCACAGTCTTCACAATGCTTTGCAGAGCGAAGGGGCGGGCTGAAGAGGAGATAACAAAACAGAAGCGGCGACGGGCTGAGTATGACGGTTTGTGCTGAATGAATCTATATGAACATTTTAAGCTTAGTCATCCGCTACAGCGTTCGTCGGGACCTATTCATCGGAATATAGTCTTCATACAGAACAACCAATGCCTTTACATATAGAAGAAGCGTATAACGAAGCAGCGCAGAGAGACAGGTTTATTTTTTTTAAAGCGTAGATCCCATTAAAACTGGCTCAGAACTCAACCTGTGTCCGCTACTGGACGCGTGTTACAAAAGGATAATCGTAAACAATTTAAAAACTTAGCGGCCAGGCGATACACCTTTATGTTTGACGTAGTTATGTTGAACCGAAGTACTCACCACACATTTCTGTCCGTTTGGTAGATTCGTATCGCTTACTTCATCCTCAGAACTAAAGCAAACTTCACGGCACACCGTTGCTATTTCCTAGAAAATGTGGTAAAATGAAAATCAACGTATGATGCAGTGTAATTGTGAAGAAATAAATCAAAATATACCACGTTATCAAGATTAAAGGCGAGCGCGTTGGTAAATATACTTAAACAACCGAAAATATTAAACAGATTCGTCCCGTTTTCGTGTTTATTATTTCCTGTTGTTTAAATACCACGTATATTTATTTATATACTTACTCCATTTATTCTGATTACATTTCTCGTGTTTTTTTATAAAGTAATCGCCGAAAACAGGCATTACATAAGTTTAAACAAGGCAAAATCTCACGCAGCAAGGTTCTAAGGTGCCTAAGATTAAGTATCATGTATAATCGTGAACTATATATTGTTCTTATACCTCAAGTTAAAAAAAAAACTGTTCGTACTTTAATTTTTTCGGTGTCTGTATTTCCAGTTTAGGCACCATTTTGAGTGACTTGCAATTTTGACGAGTCATTTTCTAGAGATACTTTTATTATATGTTTAACAATTTTATGAAGGACTTTTTCTGCAGCAAAGGTTTTGAATGGTGAAATCTTATCAAGGCTCGGACGGTTCATAGCTTAAATGTTTAATGGCAGGAAATATGGAAAATGACGATGAAAATAAAAACGTTTACAATTCCCTGTAATACCGGATTAGAGTGCAGCTCTTGAGGAAGAGGAGGGGAGGGTACGGAGAGGAGGGTATGGCCCTACCACTCCTCCGTACCCCTCCTCCTTCTCCCCTCCTCCTCCATCCCCCTCTCATTCTCCTCATCCCCCCTCATCCCCCTCCCTCCCTCGTGACACTCGTGACGTCGCTCGTGAAGGTAGTGACCTTCACGTGACCTTCACTGTGAAGGTCGTTACTTTTGTGGCCTTCACGAGTGACCTTCGGGACGTTACTCGTGACATCACTCGTGACCCTATTGACCATCGCGACGTCACTCGTGACCGTCGTGATGTTGCACGTGACGTCACGTGTAGCGTCATTATGGGAAACGTCCCATAATGCAACGAGCGGTTACGCCGACGGCGACGGCAACACCGCTCAAGCCCGTAACGGGTGCCTAGGAGCTACGCTTTAAAATGCCGTCGTATGGCATCTGAGAATTGTCATGCGTAAAGAATTTAGGGATGATATGAGAGCCCTAATTGACGAAAAAAAAAACTTTAAGCCTTTCCACTCTGGTGAAGAAGGAAGACCAACGAAGCTGTACTATGGTGGGAATGAAGTAATGGCCGGCCGCAAGTCGGCAAAAAAGAGTGGAAAAGGTGGAAAGGTTGACGCAATCAATGAGCGTCACTGATAGATGGCGGTAGCTGTCCATAGTTTTGTGGTATCATTTATTTGCTGCCGGACAGGATACTGGGGAAACTAGCCCTTAACAGCTCCGCTGTAAAAAGATTTTGGCTGCCATTAAAAAAAAAAGATGGTTTACAAAATGCACCTTTCAGGTTGTTTATACCAGAGGCCGTCTAAATAGGTGCAAAACACTGTTTCACGAGGTCTAATGATTTGAGATAAAATTAATAGTTTAATGAGAACTATATTTTGTCATTCGTAAAATTCGTATACTAAGAAAGATATCACAATGTGCCTTGCACTTTTTTTTTGTTAAAAAATTATTTGGCTGGAAGCCCCACAATATTTGTGCTCTCGTTACTGATGGCCTCAGGATGACAGGGTGTGGGGAGTTCCGACCATCTTATAATTGTTCCGCAGCCAATTAGATTATTGCATAAGTTGATTAGAATGCCAACAAAAGAATCACGAAGACAAAGCCATGGTCATAAAAGAGGACGACCTGGGTTTCTTAAGATGTCATTAACTGTATAAACGCTTGCATCCCGCTCATAGCGTATGCTTCCGACATATCAGCTTGAAGCACCGGGAATTTTCTATTTTTGGTGTGTCAGTATAACTATAATGACACACCAAAACATCAGTATAACTATACTGATACGTTGATGTTTCAAATAACGTTCCGGTAGTTGAGGGAAGCGGGTTTGTCTTCGGCTATGAGGCCGCTAATAGAGATGAGCACTTGGGATGAACTACCTGAAGAAACTGCGATAATATTTCAAATTTATTTCTTTAAACACGATAACGTTGGTTATTGTAAAACAGCACCCCAACACGATAGGAGGTTGCCGCGGTGTTGGGTGACAATGTGAAAAGGCTGGCGGTACCAAGCTCTGCTTTCCACGATACATTCGTCCACCGTATCTATTCTAGCTGTCTTCCTACATTGAATTCGTACCAACGAGCCCGATTTTCTATCCCACGAATACGATATGTTTCATTCCTCCAATACATATTGTATCCTGTGCACATTATTCTGCGACAACATCTGTTTGTTTCGCTTGATGGAATATTGGAAGTAAAAATAAATTTGCTTGCGCGTAGATGAACATTAAATCATATTAACACAGCCAAATATTAATTCATTTATTTCTTGACTTGGACGAAATGACAAACAAGTCAAGATACTGAGGTATCAGTATCTTGAACAGTTTCTGATTTATATGACACTTCTAGTGATTTACACGTCCTGTGACTTATATAACACGTCCTGGTATAACACATCCCGTGTAAAAATGCCTTAAAGTAAAATAATGCATAGCAAAAGTCGAGAGTATAATTTCCACAAAACCTATAAAAATATGAGTCGCGTCAACGTAGCAAAATCGGTACCGGTGGGTGTGTTTAACAATGTAGCGTGCGTGCGTACAGTGTCCAGCGTGTTAAAAGTCAGTTATCATACCTCGCCTTGGATATCCATTGTTCTGTAACCGGAACACGCAGGATATTCTTGCTTGTCTTTCGTCGCGACGATATATGAAATTATAATTGGAAACATCCTTTGAACATGGTTTATAAAACTTTCATCAGGCTGTCTCGAATTTTTTTTAACAACAAAGAAATGCGTGATTACAAAAGGAAACTAGTGAAAACATTTTTTTCTACGCCGTAAACCAAACGGAAAATTCGGCGGCTGCACATATCAAGCTTATGCTTTTACCAAATATACATTTGGGTGCAACATTGTACTGTAGGAAATTTCTTGGCATAGTTATCGTACACCAAATTGAGCTTTGTGTTTCTGCGGTGCTTTGATTGAGGTTCTTTTATGGAGGTCATATTCCGCTGATTGAACTGAGATATTTTTTTAAAGCTGTCGTTTTTGAAGGTGAGATCAACAAACTTGCCAAACACTATGGCGTACGTGTTTAAGGGAGAGTGAGTTAGCGATGAGTTTAACTTGTGGCGACGACTTATTTTGTTGTCTGTAGCAGCTCGAGAAACGGCTCCACAAATTGCATTTATTGCTAGTTCGGTTGTCTGAGAAAACAACCGCCTTTGACTTTCGCGAGGTTGTCTCATTCTTTAAAGAAGAGAACTACGCCTTGAAATTTCCAAAGATAAAATTCATCACCTAACAGAACATTCCGTGAAACTTCGACTCTCCCATGTGCAGGCGCCGATATTTCCTGTTCGTTTTACAACGTAGAAAACACTCTGGCCACCCTATATAAAGCAACAAGATCAGCGAATAGATGAAGGAAAATGCCTGAAAATAAGTGTAGCACACTTTCTAGTTAAAAAAAATAGTTAGAGGGTTAAAATAATGAATAGAGAACATCTTATGTGTACGTAACAACATCGTTTTCAAAATCGAGTGCAAACGTGTTCGCGCAAGTTAAATCAATTCGCTAAAATTACGATTACCGATGTGAGAAACTGCATTTCAATTCATAATATTTACTAAATATCGTTCCTATACATATATATCTTATATAAAATCTAACAGATCAAAAGTGGGGCATACATATATCGCCGTCTTGTATTAACTTTGCATTCCACATAAATTGCTCGTTTGGGCTGTCCACGTACATGGCCAGTAAGTAAGCGGGCTGGCCCTATTAAACTTCGTGAACATCTTTGAATAATTCACAATATTTCCACGAGTTTGTTCAGAGACTTAAGCCTATCAAATACGTATTTCTAAATAATTAAGCTAATTAACTTCAGAACAAAGCTTAAACCTAGATAGAGATTTCCAAATTGGAAGTCCACACAACTTTTTTTACTTTAGGTGCGACCTGCAGGTGATGCTACATTCAGATGAAGTTAATAAAGCGGCTCCAAAAGTGCACAGTCGCGGCTCAGGTTGTCTTTGTGGGTTTGCTATAACCAACTAAACTAATCACGCTGAAAAAAAAAAAACAGCATCGCTGCGTTTTCACACTGCATGATTAGTTTAGGAGGTAATAGTGCTATACAGGGTGTCTTCTTTTTAAGTTTAACATATTAGCTTAGAAGAAGTCCTGATATCAACACTAATGTTGTTTTGTGAAGGTAAATTATACTGCCAAAAAGGACGAAATATAGAAGGTAATCGTTGCGATCAGTCGAATAAAATTTGTTAATTAAGTTTTTAATTTGTGAAAATTGACAGATGGTTCCAATTAGAAACTTTCTGAGCGTAATCAAATACCCCTAAATCAGTAATTTTTTTATAAATGCTTTCAGCGCGTGGGAAGCGTAGTAGTGCGCTAAATCTACCACCCGTGCAAAAGGTACGACGCTAGGGCTATGATAAGAGACGGAAAAATTGCGGGGGCGCCTTATCGCACCCGTAGCCTTGCTCCTGCTGAACGTGCGGGAAATTTAGAGCGCTAAGGCGCTTCTTACGCGCTCAGAAGTCTTTCTAAAAAATTTTAATTTAGTGTATTTTGATGACGCTCAGCAAGATTCTAATTGGAACCATATCTCTATTTTCAATAATTAAAAAGTTCATTAACAAATTTTACTTCATTAAACAACTACTGATCGTTATGATTAGGCCCCTATACCCTGTCCCCCAGGCCGTACAACCCACCTTCACATGCCCCATATTGCAGCTTTCACAGCTTTTTTCTAACAAATATGTTAATTTAAAAAAAAACTGTTTGATGAGCAGCGAAGGATTGGTATTATTTATTTTTAATTTGTAAATAAATGGCACATCGAAGCACTCACCGGGAGATTCGCAACTTCCAGTCACACACTTTCCAGTAAACTTTACGTTTTCTTCTGTTCCAAATTCAGCAACCTTAGCAAATATTATGTAAAACAAGTGTGACAAGAATATAGGTTTAGGAAAAGGAAGGGAGTGTAATAGTGCACAGCATCATAAATATTAGGTTTTAAAAGCGTCTAACAAATATCTAAGCATGCAAATGAACTTGAGGAAATGAGATGAATTAGTTAATTCATTTAGAAGTCACCTTGCATTTATAATTGTTGAATAATTATATAGTACATATCTTATCGCTGTTTATTGCTTGGTGTTAAACGGGGAGGGAGAAGAGAAATCTTTATTCGAAGCGTCAGCCAATAGTCAGGCAATAGAAAGTCGTTCGTCCAGCGGAGCACAAAACACAATAGCCGCTTACCGAAAAAACAAATTATTAGCTGTTCCATCATAAACAACGCAACATGAAGACGTAAGCACCGCTTTACACGTAACGTGGTACATCTCCGTGTCTCCCCAGTTATTTCTCGTATCGGTTTACTCTAACTCGCGTAGATAGCAGCTGGTTTATTACTCAAGTTAAACACAAGAATGTTAACATTCAGTAGTCGGCGGTCAGTTTGCTGTGAAGGGCACCGCGTGGGGTATAAATGTTGAGGCTGTCTGTCTCAAGTCAGGGGGGAATAAGGAATAAAACCTGTTCATATCAAGACTAAAATAATTGTTAACGAATAATTGCATACACTCCATATGATTGCAGTAGTCCACACATTACAGAAAGAGCTGAAATCTGCAAGATCACGACAGGCTAACAAAAATAGGAAGATGTATTAAGCTTGAGAATCTCTAAAGCATGCATAATGCCCGACATCCTCGGAAGCAATGCGAGAGTCTGGAGGTTAACAGAATGTCTCGTTCTACTCAAACGTTATAAAATTAAAAAACAAAAAGATAGAAATTATTTCTGTGAGGTGCTGAAAATATTTGAAACTATTCTTATATTTGCCTATTCGGGCAGTTAAATAATTGCTCAACCGGCTCGGGGACCATATGCGACCGAAAATAACAGATGCTGCTTCAAACGTGGGTAGGTGGTTACAGAAAAGATGGAGGAGAGGCCTGTTGGAGCAATGTTTTTAGATCTATCAGTTGACAGGCTCCACGTAAAAGCGTCGTTCAAAAACGGTTATTTTCTGCTTCGCGCAGCTAGGCGAGCAGGCACAGGCGGCTAGGTCTCCTAGTGCTAAAGCTCCCCTATAGAATAAGTGTCCGAAATCCTAGCCTCCAGCGATGAAAATGGAAAATAATAATCTAAAACGTAAATGCTCATCGAAATGCTGTGTAATTGACCAAGGTTTGCAAGTACTTGCAGCACTTCGCTTTGCGTGGTGTCTACTTGCCTGTTAATGTAACTTGTAATGTAAATGTATAACACGCGGCTCTGGCGTCAGCCGCTGGGGTGGCGCTGCTGTCTGCGCGGCGTGTGCGCACGCGCTTCACTTCTCGAGATTCTTTTTTTGTAAGCTGTTTGTAAGCTGCGTGTTGGTCTATAGACCTTTGGATCACTTATAAGCCTGGCGAAAAATGCTGAGTCACTAAGCTATGGAAGCATGCACAGCCTCTTATATGCCGCGCAGTGGACCTACAGCGCATGTCCAGAAGGCGTTCTACAGCCTAGCAGACAAAGATGGCAGCGCGCACAAGGCGATCTTTGCAAAGGTCCTATACACTCTCACTCTCATTTTTAATGATATAGCGTTAAGGAGCTCGTGTCGCAGAAACGCCGGCGTCGGTGTCGGTGGTATTGTGACGGGAAAATCCCGATTGGTCGATAGGGGCATGACGTCACAGCCGCATGACCTCGCGCGGAAATTTATAACAAACCAACGCTCCCGTGAAGCGTGACGTCACGCGTGGAATGAAAGTGCTAAAAACATTGCATGTAATGCAGATTAAAGGTCGCCACATGTCTAAAAAGATTTCACTTTATAAAGTAATTAATTTGTCTTAAAGAAATTTCTTGAAGTTTTTTAGGGGGAATTTGAACTTCAGACCTGTCACCTGCGAGCCATACAAACACCATTTATATAAGCAGAAGGCCTCCGCACCGTCATCACTGTCAGATCGATGGAGGCCTGAGATTGGGCAAGAGTGCTGCATCAGTGTTCGGCCGGGGCTCGTGTTCAATCAGCGCGTCGTAGGTCGGACTCGGGTCCAATAGTCGAGTTTGCGCGATCCGACTTTGATGAAAATTTATGAAGGAAGAGGAGGCGATTCGGAGGCTGATTATTCTAGGTGGTGTTGGCCAGACAGGCTACGGACTAGGCTATGTCCGCCGCACTTCCTGCTCACTGGCAGGAAGAGCATGAGAAGCGGACGAGAAGGCGACGCGGACAGCCCGATTATGCTATCCCGTTTCACTCTTAAGGAAGCTTAAGCGTCCCCTGCGTTTTATTTTAAACAACTCAATAGGCAACAATTACGATATTTAATGACGAGGTAAATATTAAGATTTTAGAGTAAACCTTATCAAGCGATCGGGAGACCGACATAGTTATTCCTTGCAGTACGACTATTCCGATATGGTTCTCAATATTTATTTTAAGAGCTAAATATCATGAACTGAATGCCGGGAAACATTTGTTATTATGTCGGCATTATGAACCCGTATCGTGCACTTGTTTTTCTTTATTCAAAACTTGAGTTTCGCATAAAGGTGTTGAACTTTGTTGGAGTAACTCGGTCCTCCATTCTAGATAAAGATCAGCGTCGTGTTGCGTGCCATCGATGCAACTGATGACAGTTTGGAAGGCGTCTTACAAAAGAGTATTATCTTTATTTTTTATGCTATAAGATATCTGCGATAGCTGCAGACTACGTTAAAACTAATGCTAAAGCTACAGGGTGATGTGGTAGATTCTGACTATGTTGAAATACTGCTGCATTTTGGCGTAGTCCGCGGCAGAGCACAGTAGAAACACAGCCCTTTTTTGTGTTAGGACGATGTTGCGTCTTCATTGACGCGCTTATACAGCTTCTCTTTTTCGCGATAACATCTATTTATATTTGCTTTGTTCTTTAGTAAGATTTAAAAGAGGCTTGCTTGAACCTTCATAGGGTCGAGAGCTCTTTGTGGGCATAATAAGCAGAACAGAAATTGGAGGATAAACGTATTGTTCAAATATGAAGGAAAAGAGATTGCTTTTCTGGATCATCGGAACATTTGATAAGACAAAAGATGGAACGGGACCGAAGTCGAAATTATGTTATCTCTTCCCTTCATTGTTTTCGTGAATTATGATGTCCTAAAGTTGAAAAGATTTGAATTGAAATGGGAGCCTTTATTTTTATGCACCTGCTTCAACCTATTTGTGGTAAATTTCCAGCCGGGTCTTGCATGTAAACCTATATTAGTCAGCGCTTGTTTAATCTGTTCGAGATTTATTTTTCCCTTGTTGCGTTGCAAGTGTATTATAGAAATCATAAATATGTAAAAAAGAAACACTCACGTTGCATAGTCTTTGGTCAGGAGCATATTCCCAATCGGAAGACCCCTCACAATCCATCAAACAATATTCGAGCACTGCGAACTGAACGGAAATACAATAATCAAAAAATGACATTATTCTAGAGAGTGTGATTGAGTAATTTTACCGTCTCGTGAAATCGCAGAGCCTAGTCATAGTGCCATATGACGTTACGTTAGGAGATGTCATGATACGTTAAATGATATCATAATACGTTACATTGCGTGAGATTACGCGAATTCAGTGTCCCGTAACGTTGCATAACGTCGCGTCACGTCGTGTTACATCCGACAACGTCACTTAACGTCAGATGACGGTTGTACTGACATGCCCTGCCATTGGCAATGCGAGTATAAGTTTCTGTTAGTAACTGTTGCCCAACTAGTAGTTGGAAAACAGTTACTCTGACACATTAAACTATTTATGCGACTCCCCCTGTGAAGTTTTATTATAAAGCTACACCGCGTTGCGTGAACTTAGCATGCTTCCATACAGGGTAAAACGTGTCGAGGAGTGACCTTACATGACATGTAACGAACGACGACATGGCTTAGTGCTTTCAGAACAAAAGGTTCCTGATAGTGTTGGGGCCGTGGGGAGATGACTTTATTATTGCACCAAAAGCGCCAAAACGCAACGGGGGCTGCCGCTTTTATGCGTTAGGGAGACTGTACGTACTCCCTGGTTGATGCTACAATCCCATTATTGAGCAGGTGAGCAAACAGTCACGACTTAGCTGGTATTTCACTTCAGCTGTGGTAGCAGTAAACATAATGCTTAACAAAAATAAAGGTGAGTGTGCAGGCGAGGTGATTCTGACTAATCATAATGTACCATCTGATGCTGTTGCGTAAAATTGAGAAACTTTCAAGTCAAAGAAAAAGACAACAGTAGGAGAACAATTTATGATAAATTGCTTGCTCGTTTTTGGCGCGGCATTCGGCGGAAGTGGCCGAACACTACGTCAGCGTTTGGACACATGTTAAATTAATGGAGCACCAATTCAGCCCGAGACCAGGCAGTCGTGTCCAACATGCGGCCCACACTCAATCGAGTCATATGAGACACTGATCCAGTTCACAAGCCCTCTGCTGGTCAAACAGGTGGCCGTGTATACCTAACAATCTGGACAAAGCCTCTCTTAGAGTTTAATAGGTATAGTTTTCGTAGATCGTTTTTGCCGTCCCGCAAGGCCCTCCGCAACCCGCTACGATACCCGGAACTCTAGAGTCAAGGCCATCGGCGCACAGGCGCAGTAGGAGCTTCTTCGTTGCGGAGGGCTTAGCGGAGAGAAAAACGCGGTCCACGAAAACTCCCTAATACCCATTAGCACATAAAATCTGTCAGCGGCGATGGGCGGTTATAGCAGATTTAGATTAAGCTTTGTAATCACCATTCCATTTGGTCAGTACGCGTTATTGATCTGCATATTTGGGCCTTTGGAATATACAGCGTGTCCTCCCACGTATTTAGTGTTTTTTGTTTTGGTCTTTTCAGCGCGAAAAAATTAACTACGCATCGTCGAACGGCTATTTTCAGCTCAAATGTAGCGATAGTGGTCTGAACAATATGCCTAAGTTTCAGAAAGAAACATTTCTCAAAGTTACAAGTCAAAAGTTATAATAGGTTTTTTTTTTAATCGCAATGGGTGCACTATCGCTCGTATTCGCCGGTCTTCGGTAACTGACGCCGTCACCTCCGTGCATTCGAGAGCTGCGTCAGCCGCCATCCTCCCATTGAGATTTTTGGATAAACACTAACGGTTAATTTTAACACTTTGGCTTTTGGTTCGAACTGCTAGCCCTACATTAGGGCGGAAAATGAGCGTTCGGCGATGCATAGTTCATTTTTTAGATAAAAATGACCACTGTAATTTTTTTGTTCACTTATCAGTCGCTTGGTTAATATTACAAAAGCCTATCTCGGCATTTTGTAAAAACATCTCGTTATATTTACATATTATGACACGATACGAAGAAAGATTTACGGACAGAAATTGGCTCGCAGGTGTTGTCTATAATATAGCACCCCAAGTTAGAGCTCTGCCAAAAGCTCAAACACACACGGACGAGCATATACTAAACCTTGCATGGTCATCGAGTACGTATTGCGCTTTATTGATTTAGTAAATAAGAGCATACGAAGAAAATAATCACGAAAGCTGTGGCGTTGCGTCTGTACTGTTGCTTGATTTGCCTATCAGCTCTGTCAGGCTGTACTTTGACTTCAACTATACCGCCAGTTATATATCGGTTTCTTTATCGGTTTCTCATCGTAGCTCGCTGAGATTTACTACAGAGGTGCGACTAGCTGATTGAAGTATGGGGTCAAAATATAAACTAATGAACCTGGTTCGGGTAATCTATGGCACCATTACGCAGACGAAGCCATACGGGGCAGTCTACTTGTATAGGCCGCCGACAGATGGCGCCATATGAGGCACGAGAAGATGCGGCGCCTTCAGCGACCATTTCTGTAGAAGAAATGGGGGCCTGAGGGATTTGAACACCTTTTTTCGTATTTAGCCTATTCTAAAAATATATCTCACATTGCAAATTATATATATCAGAGATATTCGTGGCGTGCAGAAGAAAGCGTAGTCAAAACTTTCGGGAGATCGCCTGGTAAGCACGGCGCCGGCGCGCCCCAGAGCCGTTTATTGGGAGAGTTTGGCCAATGGGTGGAGCAAAGGCTGCCACCAGCGCCGAATACTGCTCTCGCGGTTAGAGCGTAAACTAAAAGGGTGACACAGCGTCGACCAATCAGCAGGCCGCGACGTTACAATATTGCAAACGACATTTAAAGCATGAAATAGAAGCGTTCAATCTCGGCGTCTCGGTGACACTTTTCTGTGGGCTGGCTTGGTAGAACAGCGACTCAGCTGAGACTAGCTGAACGAGAACAGTGCAAAGGCTGGAGCGCGCGAGCGTCTCAAGACGTGGATTGATTCCCGCTCAGCTCGTCCGCTGGCTTCGGTAGTGCTTTCTTTCGCCCAGTCTCAGCTGAGACGCTGTTTCTAGCAAGTCGGCCCTGGGTTGGAGCCCACGTTCGTTCATTCTGCCGTTGTATAGGGACGTGACGAAAACCTCACATGCGCCAAGGTTTCAGTCACCGAGAGTTATACCTTTTCGCTCTAGCGACGCTAAAACGGCTTGAGTTAGTTGTGTCGCATATTTAGAGCTGACGACCACCGCTAGGGGCTATATCGAGGCCTGTGGTTGGCCTCGAGATGCTTGCCTATTCAAACCAATGTATGGCCAAACTCTCCCGATAAACGGCTCTGGCGCGCCCTTGACGCTTCCGACATGAGAGTTACATAATGCGGTCGGCGCAGGTAAGTTATACAACCTGGAGGGACATATCATAGGTGGATAATCGTAACGATAAGTTCGTTAATTAACAAAAAGAATACTACATTACTTTTAATTATTGGTAACAAAGATATGGTTTCATGTAGAAACTGTCTCAACGTCATGGAAAACCTCGAAATAAGTAAAATTTTTAAAGATTTGGGGTGTGTGGAAAGTGCGGCTGTGCGATAAGTTACGTCACTCGTGCAGCAGGCGACTGCCAGCATGCGAAAACACGCCCGCGTGGGTATTCCGTCTCTTATCTACGTTTTTTGCACCACCAGCATGGCGCCCGTTTTAGATAGACACATCTATAGTCTTTACACTCCCTTAGGCGTGCCAAAAAACCTTGCTGGCTTATCACGCGACAGACAGATCCAGCGTAATTATAGGGCATATGAGAATATGCATGCCAAAGACTTGTACTCTTAATATTAAATACAAACAAAATTTGTTTTGTTTTTTCCCTGCCGTTTTACGGATTGAAAGGGTTTTTAACAAGATATGATTATATATATATATATATATATATATATATATATATATATATATATATATATATATATACACGATAAAAAGGTTCAACGGGCCGGTTGGACGTAAAACGAAAGTTTTACGTCCACTTTCGTTACACACACACACACACACATATATATATATATATATATATATATATATATATATATATATATAAATGCTAAAGTAAGGTGCGCAGAGACAGCAGCTGTAGGATGATACAAATCAAACTCTAATTTGGTCGAGAAAAAAGTTGTCCTATTTTAGTCCGTCTACTCCAATCATTTCTTAGTCCCTTCTCGTCTTCTTACTCTCATATTTCTGTCGTCGTCCCCTTCCTTACTGCTCGCTACACTCGCACCCCTCCCATCTGGTAGAGTGTACGACTAGGACAGAGTCTAGGTACTCATGCGCGTCACGTAAATTATATCTGACTACGATGAGCAGTAAGAACGCTGTGTCTTCCTCGTCGTCGAAGCCTGGAGAGTTCCTCGAGGCGGTGTGTAACAGGGCCAAGCTGCGTACTTCTTTTGAAAGGCCCGAAGTACCTTGAAAGAACCTTTTATGACCGCTGTGGACATGTGAACTGTCTCCTGAGAAGTACCGGGTCACCTGGTTCAATCAGCGGAGCTGAACGGCTCGAATTGAAGCGCTATGCGATCTTCGACTACATGTGTAGAATAGTGAGCCGGGCTCGTTCCCCTGCCTCTCATAATCGCTCCGAGAGATTGTTGCTATACTCTAGGCCTAGGCAAGTCCACGCCGCGTCTATTCCTGACTCTTCTGGCAGCGTTGGAAGTCGTCCTTAAGCCACACCAAAAGGGGATTCATCCGGTGTTTCTTGACAGGACGTGTTCAATGCGAAGGCCGTCGTTCCGACGTACTGATTCCAGTCTTTAGGTAACGCGCGGAGCAAGAATATCCCCAGGGTCCGGTTGGTACTCTCTATGAGACCGTTTCGTCTGGGAATGGTATCATGACGGTGCGGCGTGTTGGATCCCGTACTCACGTAGAGCGCCCTCAAATAAGTCCGAGGACACAAGCACTTCTTATAAGTTGTGAATGCGACAGCATAAATGTCGTTCTTTCGCTCCCTAGTTTGACTGCGACTTAGTAGACCGTTTTAGTATAGCGTTGCTGGCTCTTACGTACGCAATACGCAATAGTATAGCGTACGCTAAAAACGACCCGCTCGGA